ATCTCTGGAAAACTCTTTATTTTTGATTCTGATTAAATACGTATTTATTGGGAGAATTATGTGTGCTGATTATGAATATCAATATATTAAGTGTACAGAGCTTTTCAATAAATAAAAACCCAGCTCTTTTTAAGTCGCTCGTATGGCTCTATATCCCAGTTTTTGGCTCTGTCTCTTCTTCATTTTTTATTGTAACCAGATGAAAAAACATCCATTATAGCTAAAACAACATGATCTTATCGAATATGAACTATAAAATATCCTTCAGAGCATCATCGACTACAAAACTTAGAAATACTGGTCAAAAATCTGCTTTTCTCTGATTTCCTTAGAGATTGAGGTTTCCAAATGTTTTGATAACAAATTGGAACCAATGTGAAATCTGAATTGAATACCTAATTTTCGATGCTCCATCCAATGGTGAATTTAAAAGTTCCAAAAAAATTGTGCGTCGAGGATTTTTGAGGGTTGTCCAGAAAACGTTTCCAAGATCCCAGGCCATTTAATAAAAACTAACTTCACCATCGTGTTCAGCACGTAAAATAATCTACTTCAAACATTTTAAACCTTCTCGAAATATTGAATAGATAATCTTTTAAAGTCTTCATTCTTTTCAATTTAGTTATATTATGTATAAGGCTAGTTATAGATTTGTATGTCCTGATTCGAGGTATTAGAAATATTTGGATCGCCGAAGAACTGTGTACAAAGGTTATTTGATATGCTGAACACGAAGGTGAAGTTAGTTTTTATTGAATCGGTTGGGATCTTGGAAAGGTTTTCCAGAAAACCCTCAAAAACCTCGACGCACAATTTTTTCAGGAGTTTTGACTTCACCATTGGATAGAGCATCCAAAATAAGGTACTTAAGCCAGATTTCACATTGGTTCTAATCTGCTATCCAAGCTTTCGGAAGCTCAGATATTCGTAGATCCTACACTGAAAAAAAAATCCGTAGAATAATCAACTCTTTGACTTGAAAAACGATTCCATAAACCCTTCAAGGGTTTATAACCACTTCATATACCCTTTAATGGTTTATGAACGAAAGGGTTTATAACAATGAGGGTATATGATGCGTAGTTGAGGCTATATCAGTCAAAGTTTTTATCAATAGGATTTATTATTCTACCCTCAAAGGTATATTATTCTACGTTTTCATTAAAATTGTATGTTGTTGCACGCATCAGGGTAGATCATTCTACGAGGACCACAAAAGAGTTTATTATTCTATGCGCAAGGGTTGATTATCCAACGATTACAACTGAAGGGTAGACCACTCGGCGGTTTTAAGAAGTCGGTTTATCATTCTACGCCTAAGGGTAGATCATTCTACCATTATTGAAAGAAGGGTTTATTATTGCACGCAGAATAGTACACTTTTCTAGAATCATGAAGAGAAGTGTTTATTTTGCTGCGCATAAGGGTAGATTGCTGTGCGATTGCAGAATAAGGATTTACCATCCTACGTCTAACGATAGTTCATTCTTCGTCTAAGGATAGATCATTCTACTATTATAGATGCAAGGGTATATTATTGCATTCAGAAGGGTAGACTATTCTAGAATTTTGAAGAGAAGGGTTTATTAAGCTGCACATAATGGTAGATTACTCTACAATTAGAAAAAAAGAATTCATCATTGTACGTCTAATGGTAGATCCTTCTACAATTACAATACAAGGGCTTATCATTCTACGTCTGAGGTTAGATCATTCTACCATTATACATAAAAGGGTTTATCATTCTACGCCTAAGGGTATATCCTTCTACCATTGTGGACACATTGGTTTACCATTCCACGTAGAAAGATACATTATTCTACGGTTATGAAGAGAAGGGTTTACTGTACTATGCATAAATGTAGATGTTTCTGCGATTACAGAAGAAAGGTTCATCTTTCTATGTCTGTGGGTAGATCATTCTAGCATTATGGATACAAAGGTTTATTACTCCACACAAAAGGGTAGATTATTCTACGATGACTGAAGAAAGTTCTATCATTTTACATATAAAGGTAGATCATTCTATCACTGTGGTCACATGGGCTTCTATTCCTCGCAGAGAGGTAAATTATTCTACAATGATGAAAAAAGAATTTGTTATTCTACGTTTACAGGAGTATAGTGGTCTATTATTCTGCGACAATAGAAGAAAAGGTCTCATTATTCTATACATGAGCGTAGATTATTCTACAATTAGAAAATAGGGATTATTATCATATGTCTGAAGCTAGTTTATTTTACCATTATGTAAAAACGGTTTATTATTCTTCTATTAACAGATAATTTATAGCCAAAGAAAACGGATTAACTATTTTACATTCCAGGGCAGATCGTTCTGAGATTCACCATAGATTATTCTATTCTTAAGTCTAGATTAGTCTAGAAATTTCTTAAGCAAGTAAAATGATTCATTTGTCCACTTTTAGTCGTAAATTACGCTAAATGCTCATCAGCAAGTTCATGAGTATTTATATAAAGAATATTTACTGTACGGCGATAAAAAGTTCTACCTAAATCCTTCTTTTCAGATTCGTTAAGAGAATGATAGTATATCTATTTAGTTGCTTGCAGTTATCTGTGATTATTTCTGTGAAAGAAGGTTAGCCTTTTCTCTAAAATGACTGTGATTGTTACAGATTGATAACGGTAATGGTTTAGCTGGTGTTCCACTGGTAACATTAAAGCTGGTGTTCCCCCTCATCAAAAGTGTTCCACTATGTAACTTTAAAGTTGCATAGTGGAACACTTTTAATGAGAGGGAACACCAGCTTTAATGTTACCAGCGGAACACCAGCTAAACCATTACCTTTCCAATAGGTGGATTCAGTCGGATTCCCAAAGGTCAGAATCCTACAGGATTTTTATCGGAATCCAATCAGATTTCATCATGTTCCGACAGGATCCTGCGGGGCTCCAATACCACGGACACCGACAAATTCCTACAGTAGGCTTTCGTCGGATTTCATCATGTTCCTACAGGATCCCATCGGGTTCGAATACCATGCACACCGACCATTTTCCAACTCTGGGTTTTCGTAGGATTTCATTATGTGGGTGGGTGTGGGTGTGGGGTGTGGATGTGGGGGTGTGGGGGTGGGTGCGGGTGCGTGTGTGTGGGTGGGTGTGGAGTGTGGGTGTAGATGAAAATAACACTAACACCCACACCCACACCCACACCTGCACCTCACACCCACACTCACACCTGCACCTCACACCCACACCCACACCCAAACCCCACACCCCACCCACACCACACACCCATACTCACACCACACCCACACCCACACCCCACACCCCACCCAGACTCCCACCCCACCCACACCCACCTAAGTATATAACCATTCTAATTCTTAGAATTGATAAGAATTAGTTACGGGTAGATATTTTATTAGTTACTGGGTAGCGTGGCATTGCGGGAAACTGTCCACTTGATTGTTTCACTAACGAAAGACGTTTTACGAGCAAGAACAATTTTTTTTTAAATATCTATTCCGGCGAATATCAAATTAATTGTAAGCAATGAAATCGTTGCATTCCTACATGTTATTATGAACTTTTTTTTTTCATCATAATCAAGATATTGATGCTCATTGTACAAAAAGTGTTGCTTTTTAGTATGACTATAAAAAAACAAGGAAAAGCGACGAAAATTCTCTTGAGTTCTTCTGTATTTAGATCATAATCAAGTTTAAGCTAATATTCAACCTATAAGACAATTTAATTGTTCTAGATATTTCAATAGAATATAAAATTACTCTCATTTTCAATAACTATAAATATCTGATTATTCTTGAGTCTGCCTGAAACAGACGATGTAACTAAATCATCGACTAGAAAAGTAACCTTAGACTATGGATGGTACCGATTTGAGTTTGCCAGACTACTTAGAAAAAAATTTTTTTGGAAAAACATCGCATCAAATGCAATCAAGTTTTTTGGTCAGTTTAATTTATCATGACCATCATTTAAAATTTCAATTGAAATATTATTTTT